ATGGGGGAGGTGATGCGGGGACACAGTTATAGAGAGGGAGGGAGGCATACCATAAGAGACACTTCAATACTGATAACAGACTGAGGGTTGACGAGGTGTTGGGGAGAGGGGAAAGTGGGTGACGGGTATTGAGGTGGGCACCTGTTGGGATGCACACTGGGTGTTGCGTGGAAACCAATTTGAAAATAAATGACATTTAATGAAAAAGCATATCCAGGGGTTGCTCTTACTGAATATGAGGATAGCTTTCCATTTTCAGCACTTTCAGAATGTGAGGTAGTACTGCCTTAAGCTGCCTAGATGAAAGTGGTTTGTGTGTTTAAGAAAAGGAGTTGAGTAAACACAGAGGCCTCTCACATGTATCACGTTGACCTTGGCAAGTGTCTCTTCTGATTGTTACCATGACTTATCCCTTTTATTGATTCACAATAGTTTGGTGTCATCCTTTCCTGAGGAAGTGGATTTCAATTGATCATGGTAGGTGGTCCTTGTAATATTTTGTGAATTATTTGTGTATGTGGTGATGATGGATGGACCATGCTGGTTGCTTTCAAAAGCACTTACACGGACGGTGTAACACATTTTCTACCCTTGGAATCCCATTCGGTCTATTACTACCTTGTGTATGACTTACCTGAAATATTATGAATTGGTAGGTACCGAATAGGTTTTAGTGGCACTGAATGCCCTCATGGCCACTCACGCAGAATTCGTTGACGCTTTGCTCTTAAGCACACAATGACGTGGTCTTCCGTAAGCTGCGTGAAAGTGAGCATGCATACTAACTAGGCAAACTGTTTGCTGCTGCTGTGAAGAACAGCTTCCTGAACTGCGAGCTATAGCAACACACATATGGAACCCTAAGCAAGGCACAGTATATGTGTATTCTTTGAAAGAGTAGAGTAGTTACTTCAATTTGGCTTTCAGTGCGTTGCATGACAAGGCATTTAATTCGCTAAAACCCTCTTACAGTCATGTTTGATTGCAAGTTGTGTGTACTCTCCACCGCGAAGTGTCATCTCATGTGAGATGGATTTAATGGAGGCTGAGGCACCAGGGCATTCACGTCGAGGACAACCCTCTTGAACTCATCAAGAACTATGGGCCTTCTCAGGTAGGATTACGTGCAGGTCTTTCTCAAGGGCATAAACTTAAACACAGCCCAACCTAAGGCAGCTTTGGGCAGCCGGCAGTGATAGGATACGCAGACACTGTGACCTCACAAAGCGCCTGGTCTCCTAGCAACTGCGGTGTAACTCTCAACAGCCTGCTGCCTGATTTGGCTTCCTGGTAGGAAATTCATCAGGGCCCGGCGGCGGCAGCGAGACCTGGCAAGCGCGGGCGGCCCCTAGCGGCCTCACCTCCTGAGCCGCATGAAGAGGCGGCGGCGCAGGCCCCGGGAGGCCCTGGCCCCGGCCACCTGGGGAGGAGCCTCTAGCGCTGCAGTAAGGGCCGCGCTGGAGGCGCCTGAGGAGAAGGTGGTGTACACGCTGGGGCATCAGCCCCCCGAGGCCCGCGTCCGGACGCGCCGGCCAGCTGCCAGGAGGAGGCGCCACGGATCTCGGACGGTCGTGGTCGGCCAGAGGAAGGTGCCGCCCCCGCCGCCGCTGTCCCGCGAGGACAGCAGCCTCCGCAAGCCCGCGGCCCCCGCGCCCTGCTCCGGGGGCCGCAGCCTGAGAGAGAGAGGAGAGGAGAGTGGGAGGAGAGGAGAGAGAGAGGAGAGTGGGAGGGCGGCCACCCCGACGCTGACCACCTTGCCCACCATCCCCGTAGTCGGCGACGTGTGGGTCGAGAGCAGCCTGGCAGAAGCGCAGCGCCAAGCGTGCCAAGTCCTGGGAGTGAACCTGGCACCCGTGGTGAGACTCTGCCGCTTCCCATTGCCTGGGCGTGAGATGCGGGCCACGGCGCGCGACCTCTCAGCCATGGGACGGGTTGTGCCTGGAGGGATGAACCAGTGAGAGCCGGGCCCGCGTTCCCTAGTGCACTTTACGGGCGAAGAAGCACCAGACAGTCCCGGCCCGCGCCTCCGGGATGCAGCGCCGCCTTCTGGGACTCTGGGGAGGCTGTGCCCTCTGCTGCCTCCCAGCCCCGGGTCTGTGGAGGGAGGAGACCCCTGGACCACAAGGGAGGTCACCTTTTTTCCTAACCCCAGATTGAGAGGTCTCCAGCACTTTAGGGGCAGATCCATGATCTCTTGTTCCCTAATTGCTCTGAAGTCGTCCGAAGAAGCCATTCCACCCCCACTCTCTCCAAAGGAATTTGATTCCATGCTTGTGTAATAAAGCTAGAGTTTCTTTGCCATTCACCCACCTCTCGGCTCCTCCCGCCAATTTCTTTCTTCTTTGTGTGTATGTGTATGTGTATATAACTTCTAGGATGATTTAAAGTACATATTCCTTAAATATTTAGAATAGACAGTAGAGAAGAAAGGGTGTGACTTAGGGGTCTGCACCCAGATTAAAAAAAGATTACTGAAGTATAGTATACATTCAAAAGGACATATATTATTTTTTTCATGTTTGTTTATTTTTGACAGAGAGACACTGAGTGAGCAGGGGAAGGCCAGATAGGGAGCCACAGGGTCCAAGCAGGCTCCAGGCTCTGAGCTGTCAGCACAGAACCTGATGTGGGGCTCGAACTCACAAACCATGAGATCATGACATGAGCCAAAGTTGGACACTTAAGTGACTAGCCACCCAGGCACGCAAAAAAGAACATATATTATTAAAAGTATTCTGAGCACAGCTTGATGCAATTCAGTTCATTGTACTTGTGGAATCAGCACTCATTAAAAAAGGTACTAGGACCACAAGGGAACACCTGTGCCTCTTCCAGTCACGGTCTATCTCTCCTTTGGGACGGCAATTATTCTGACTTCT